GTGCACACTTTATATTTTGATTACAATTAAATATATTAATCTAACCAATACATTATTATTTTGGTTTGAGAGCACCTGTAGAGTATAAAATACGGAGTAATATTTTCAGCGACTCGCGAATAAGAAATTTTAAAACAAAACGTGACAACAGTTGAAGGTGCTGAGAATGTGACCTATTCAAATAATTTTGACTTCACAATTTTATGTAAATAACTGAGTCCATCTGTGTTTATACGTCCATGGCTTTATCAGTTGACGTTGTAAAAACGGTTTGATAGCTTTCAATCTGAAGAAATATTTGGAATGGTCTATCATATACTGACAATACATCGTCACTTGAGTGGCCTTTTCATTGGTCGCCATTAAGTCAAGGATAATTATTCGGCTAAACTACATTCATTTTACATATTCCCAATTGTCAACAGAAGCACGTGGAAGCCAAACAGGGCCGTACTGATATTTACTTTTGCAACTATAAGTGTAAGAATTTCTTGAAATTTAATCATTAATCCATCATTTAATCATTAAACCAGTAAATAACTTAACAATAACTATAACATAAATATAACACACAATATATTAACTTAAAAACCAACACGATACAATTTTAATTTAAACAGACCGGCAAGTTTGGATCTGTAACATGAGAATCTGTCTGGCTTAAGGCAATAAATTATATTTAATAGCCTCTTGACGAATAAGAGGGCGAATATCAACACATGCATTTGTTGACAGATGAGAATTTGCTAAACGAATGAACTATAGTCTCATTAATACTGTGATCAACGTGGCGAATATGGACAGAGCCAGACCAACTTGGAGCTTATTACTCCGCTCCAAGTTAAACACAAAGCCAGGGCCATTTTAAATTACTTTTAAAAAAGCAGATTTGATGGACCTCCTTCTTGAAAAAAAAAACTCGGAAGTGAAACAGTTCGCGTGTTAATGTACATATTGTGTTTACCGCAATGACATACACACCCTCGGCACAATCCTGGTCCCTTCCAAATCGGCACTATCATCATCAGTGGCATTACAGCTTGTTATGAGCCAAAGCCTTCTTCAGAACAATCTTCCATTCGCCCCTGTCTCTGGCAACTCTTCTCCATGCTTCTAACTCCGATGGATTTTAGATCATACTATATGATATCTTGATACCTAAGTTTTGGTATCAAGAAATCAATAAGCTTCTAGTATGTGAAGGAAAGGTTCTCGGAATAATATTTGGCCCTCAAAGAGATGAATTCACAGGGGATTGGAGAAGACGCCGTTATGCTGAATTGGTGACTCTGTATGGAACTGAAAACATCGTTAGACATATCAAGGCAAACCGAATAAGATGGGCAGGTCACGTGGTATGCTCAGAGGATGACAGAGTGTTAAAGACAGTGTTTTTTTTTACAGATGCTAGAAGATCAGTAGGCCGACCGAGAAAGAGATGAATGGATCATGTTAAAGCCGATTGATCTAGAATTGGGATACAACAATGAGAACTAAAAGCGCAAGATCGTAGAGGATTTAGGGCGCTAGTGGATGCGGCGAAGACTCATTCCGAGTTGTAAAGCCATTGAAAAAGAAAAAGAACCATTTATAGATTCGGCTCCCGAATTTTCGTCTTCGATAATTTTTTTATTCTACTTCTGAATGATTAAAAATCCAAGAATTGGAAAATGGAAAAAATTGAAGAGCCTGTTGGACAAAGACACTTTCTGGTATTAGGAATAAGGAGATAGAGAAGTCTGGCACTGAATAGGGATCGCTGTAGGAATATTTTTGAGGGAAACCACGTCTCATCAAGTTCTGTACAGCTGTAAAGAAGAGATACTTCTTTAGAAATCTTATCAACTTTTAAAATCCACGAATAAGTTGTATCTACATTTTAATTGGTTGTTGATCTGGTTAGATAAAATATATTTATATCCATCGAGTTAGAATCTAACTCGATGTTTATGTCTCACTAACATTACGAAAAAATTACTAATATTCTACTACGTATAGGGGAAGGGTGGGCAAGTTGACATAGCCGAGCAAGACGACACATTGCCCCCACTATTAACTAGTCCATTATTCATTCAGTCCACACGCTCGTTACTCCTTCACAGTAATCGTTTGATAGTCTTTGGGTGCAGATGCTACGTACGTTTAAAAAATATTTACGTTTTTGTGTCATTGTTGCGTAAGTACCATATCTTTCGTTATATATTTATGCCATCGTAGCATTTCTTGTCATGATTTATTTTGGAGATAAAAAGGGTAGCTTTACCTTAGGATATTGCAACTGCTCTTAGTTTAAATTTTAACCGACCATGTTTTCATGTTATGATCACACGCGCTAGCGGGCAAGTTGAGATATAGCCGTGTCATCTTGCCCTCTAAAGGACGGACCTATGAAATATTTCTGGGGGAGGTTAAAAAAACTCTGGGCCCAACTTTTACCCACACTCCTTTAAAATAAAATTCTCAACTAATGTTTTGGGTACTTACTATTAATATAGAAGTAAAAACATGGGTTCCTATATATTTTTTTAGTATATTTTTAAGCTCTTACCTATGGTGTTTTTATCTAGTTTTTTCTATTCATTTAAATTATGGTGGGACCTGTCTGGGGGGAGTAATTATCCCCATTGCTGCCCCCTCCCACCATAGACTTGGTCTTCATGACCTAAAATTTGCACCTGCTGTTTTTATTTACAGATGGTTTCTAATTATAAAAGAAAAACCAATAGAGGGGCATGGAATGAGAAGAACATGGAGCGAGCGTTGCAGGATGTAGCGGAAAAGCGCATGGGTTGGTTAAAGCAGGCATTACCAAGTGCGCCAGGTAACACTTCGCCGCCGTGCCTTCGAAATAAAATAGCAGTTGGTACAAGAAAGCATCTTGGCAGACCCTAGTGAATCATGAGTAAACCCTAAATTGAGAACTAGAAGAGGATCTAGTGGAGCATATGCTAGCACTGCAAGCCAGATTTTTTAGTTTAACGACCGTAGATGTCCGCATTTTGGCATATGAATTTGCAGTGAGAATGAAGTTAAAACATCAATTTAATAACACGAAAAATATTGCAGGCAGAGGTTGGCTACGCTCTATTCGACTAAGGCATCCGAATATATCTTTACGTCAGCCAGAGGCAACATAAATGGCACGCACTGAATGTGTTAATAAACGACAAGTACTTAAAGACCTTTTTTAAAAATCTACGTAGATAATGTAATAAATAATGAAGAAATCGACAATAATATGATTTTTAACATGGACGAGTCAGGGTTGACAACTGAACAAAATACTTATAAAATTTTTGCGCTAAAAGGAAAGAAACAAGTGAGTGCCATCACCAGCGGGAAAGGGGAGTACCTACATTCAACTGTTGTAGCGTGCAAGAGTTTAAGGGGAACTTATATTCCACCTGCTATAATTTTTCCTCGGAAGAAATTCAATCAAACATTATACGACGGAGCGCCCCTTGGGACTTGTTTGTAGAATGAATCAGGTTACATGACCGGGGAACTATTTTTAAAATGGATGAAACACTTTATTAAACATATTCGACCGAACACCAAACACAAAACCCTGCTAATTTTAGATGGGCATGTCAGCCATAAAAATTGAGAAGCATTGGAACTTGCAAAAAACAATTAAGTGGTGCTATTTTGCTTGCCTTCACATTGTACACATCGTCTCCAACCTCTCGATGTGTGCTTTTTCGGGCCACTAAGTAAGTACTACGATGCAATAGCAACTCAATGGTTGAAGAAAAGTCGTGTCATCACTCTTTACCAGGTAGCGTTGCTTTTTCTTCCGCTTACAATAAAACCGCAATACCAACGATAACTTTAAGCGGATTAAATTACAGAACACATGTATTTGCCCAGCACAGTAACTGACGTACCACTTGAGGCCGATAATGCAAACACTGAATCCCTTAATCCGGGTGCATGTTTCACTGCAGCAAAACATTTGAATGAAGAAGATCCGCAGTCATCTACAACAGTAAATACAAAGCCACATGAACATGTAGAGTCTTCAGCTAATAGCGTCACAAACGTTTTGTTGCAAATTTCACCTCTTCCTCAGGGAAATGCAAGAAAGTCCAGGAGAAGAAAGGCCAATAGTTACCAAGATGTTCTTACCACGAGTTCATACCTCCAGGGTCTTCGCTAAAAATAGAATATTAAGAAAGCGAGAGAAATAAGAGGAAATAATCAAAAATCAGTAAAGAAAAAATGTGTTTGATGGTACCTTAGAATGTGGAGATAAAGACACTCAAAAAGATTGTTGAGATAAGAGAACCGGAAAAGTAAGAAAAAGTGAACGAAGTGCGGCAGTTAAAATCTATGAAAAAAAAAAATCAGACTGTGAAGAGCCTTTTAATGAGGACGACGACGATGATTGCGCATGCCTCTATTGCAATGAGTTATATAGCCTATCCAAATTTCACGAAGGATGGTAACGTTGCCAAAAGTATCAAATGTGGGATCATGCAGAGTGTGCAGGACTATCAATGAAGGCTAAGAACTTTATTTGTGAATTATGTTTTGATAATTGATCACTTTATGTATAAATCCACGTATATGCCGTCTGGCCCTCTAAGGTAGGGCAAGATCAAAGTTTGACTCTATTTTGTTTTACATTTACATATTTAAAATGGAGTTCTGTTTTTGTTTTTCACTTGATAAATATTAAAAAAGAATGTTTTGTTTGTATTATGGCGCTTTTTAATTCATGATACCTTTTACATTTTTCAAAATAAATCGAGTTTACCTTCGAGTATGTCGACTTGCCCACCCTTATGTGAAAATGACACATAAAATAAAAAAAACTAATCTAAATTCCTAGTTCACGAATATATTTTAATAGCAATTTATATTTTCTAGACGATTTTCTATTCTTAAAAAACATACGACGTCGATCACGCATCTGGCGCACACGTTTTCACAAATTCCCAACAGACAGCAGCACAAAATTCATATGTTGGGATCCAAAATATACCAGTCCGTGGTCAGCCATTCCGAAAATGCCTCAGCGCTTTAAATTTCGTCAATTTTGAGTGAAAAAAAAGTAATTATTGAAATAAGTACAAGAAAATAAAAGAAATACCTCAACATGGATCCGGAAGCCTTTTTAGACATCGCCAATCAGGTGGTGAAGCTCAAAATGTTTCCGTATTTTGATATAGCCCATTGTACCTTGTGTGCCTTGTCAGTTAGAGAAGACCTTGGAAGTGGTAAGTAGGTTATCTTGTGTCTTAAATTAATTAGTAGTCTCTAAAGATAATACATATCTTAATGATAGGTACCTATACTAAGCGGGCTTATTTGCGGTTTTGTATTTCATGAAAGTATCAACAGTAATAGGTTTTTACTTTTATTATTTTTAAATTTTCTTTAATTTTGTGATATAAAAAACACCTTGTACTAAATATATTGAATTAAAATTGGATAATAGCATAAAACAAACAATTATAAATTTATTAAGTAAAGCAACCAGTTATCTGTTCACTTAATCATCTACAAAACTTTATTTTTATATAATAATGTGTAATAAATATTAATGAAAATTTTATATCCAGGCCGTGGGAGTAAAATTTATGGGTATTTTTATTTTTGACAGAATACAAACTTTTTTTACAGTTTAAAAGGTTGTGGTCTTGTATTTCACATATTATGAGATAATTCATTTGTAAATATTCTGCTTTTATTAAAGGAAGAGTCAGAGAAATTATTTCTGTAAAGACTGGACGTCACTGAAATCAATTCTTGTCTAAAATTTTGCAGTCTAGTTAATCTTCGTCAAGCCTCAAACGAAAATCCTCATCAATTCCATGAAAAAGTCATGTGTCTTTTAAATACCATTTCAAATCACATTGAATTGCACACAGAACATGAGGAAATAAAAAGAAGTAAAAAAGAATTTTTCCAACAAGCTCTAACCATATTTTTGACAGGCCTAAGAGAACCCCTAGGATCAACAACTTGATCCATGCGAAAACCGAACCTTGCTCTTGCTATCCAATATTTTCAGAAAGAAAATAATATTAAATATCTAAAAAAATCTCATAATTATTCCTTAACATCTAATAAACCATCTGCCACTTCACAAACGCATAGATACAATTTAACTTGTGACACTATTGTGACAAAATTGTACATTCAAAAATCGTCATATCTTTACACTGTAAGAAAATTAACAAAATTGTTTGTCTGGTTTTCCCGCTTTATACTTGGAAAAAAGTCGTTTTTTTGAGTTTTTTCGAAAAAGAAAACATAAAGTTTGTTCAAAATTTGTCAAAATACTTCTGGTTATCACATACCCCTTCTCAATTTTTTTCAAAGTGTAGTTTGTCTTTTAAGGGGTGCAGATCAACCTGAAAAGGTTTACACTTTTTAAACCAAAAATCGTTTACAAAATCTAGTCGTCATTACAGAAAAAAATATTTGTAGCTATCATATCGGTTGACATACTGTTATATGCTATCTTTCTATTTATACTTTCTTTCTTTCCAATTTTTTGAGTTATCTCTATTATTCCCTTCGCTTCTTCTGTCGTTTAACAATTTTCTTTGGTCTTCTTCTTCTTTAAATATTAGGCTTTTTTCCGGAAGCCTTTTATAAACGTAGGAACCGTTGTCTAGGTTTTTCGCTATATCTGCTAGTTGAAAACAAGCCTCGAGTCCAATAATACACCCAAGTTCTTTAATTTACTCACCAGAGCTAGATTTGTACCATTCAGGCTTGAAGCTTAATCACTTTCAATTACCCCTTCCGGTAAATTTAGAGTAAATCTTTAGAGTAATGATGATGAATTAAGTCTCACAGCACTTAGGCTACAATTGACCAATTGTACATCCTCCCAGTGAGCTGTGGTCCTTAGCTCATTGTCCATCCTGCCATTTCTAGGGAACATCTCTCTTATGTAGGCAAGTGCGAATCAGGTCTTGCCGAACGCGTAGTTTCCTATTAACGATAAGTCCGGGAATTCACATAGGATATGCTCTACAGTTTCGTCTTTCCCATATATGTTTACTATCCTCAGTGTGTAGAGGTGTTTGCTTAGTTGACAATTACTAGTTAAAAAACCAACCGTCAAATGTACATTTTTCCTGGTCATTCCCACATACCTCTTTAATGCTGACTGTTTAAGGTTACTTAGTGTTACTCTGGCAAGTCTACATCCTTGCCCTTCTTCCCATCTTTTCACGGTTTTCGCATGTGGGTGAGATTTGGCAATTTCCGCGATTGTTGTAGTTGACCAACCCTAAAAATCCCCAGGTCCTAATCGTCTTAGGTCTGCCGCCTTCTTAGCCAATTGGATAGCAATGCGGTTGCTTCTATTCCTATCGTGTCCTTTAATCCACCTCAGAATGATGTTATTACCATCCGAAGAATGAGTTAGTGATTCGTCCATTACTAACCCTGATGTGACACGTGGTCTATTCATGGTTAGTAGCGCTTGTCTGCTAGCTGTGCAGATTATTATAGTTTTCCCGACTATACCTTTTTGGGTTATCTCTTTTGCGGCTATGGAGATACCAGCCAGTTCTGTCTGAACTACGCTGGCATTTTTGCCCATATTCCACTTTATTCTTAGGTTCAGTGATCTGGAGTATATCTCGCATCCCGAGCCTCCTTCCATTTTGGAGCCACCGATGTCTATGTAATACGAATTTCCCACGTTTAACTCCCTATACTTTCTTGTTTCGATTTTGTAGTGTTTTTCAAAGACAAACTTTGGTTTAATTGAGTCACAGACTGCCTGTAGCAGAGTTAGCGCATCCAGATCTCCTCACCAGAAACGAGTTATCAATTGTTCCATTCCTACATCAAGGTTTGCACCAGATGAGCGGAGTCACAACATTGTCATCAGTGCCAACTCTTTGACTTATATCTCCATTGCAGCAGTTGGTGTTGTTTTCATGGCACCTGTTATATTATTTATGTAAGTCATCCGCTAAATATGGTTTAGTTTCTTAATCGCTGTTGCCTATAGCACTTTTGGTACCCAAGCAATAGCTCCGTAAGGTAGCGTTGGCCTAATGATAGCAGTGTAGATTCAGGCGATCATCTTGAGCAAAAGGTCCCAGGTGCATCCGACCGTTGGTTAACACGGTTAATTGGCAATATATGCTCTTTTAGCTCTACCCTAGTTGGAGTTCCACGGTCAAGGGCAATACCACTAAGGGTATTTCACCTCATCAGAAGAAAAGTTTAGACTGTAGTTTATCTAGTGAAGAGAACCATCTCCGTCTTCTTAGGATTTATAGATAGTGAGTTTTTTGCACCATATTTCTATTAGTCTGAGGAATAAGCATACATGTAGAAGACGTTTCTGTTAGAGACATGGTTACGAGGCGGTGTCCATGGGGAGAGGTGCTATCATCACTTCTCTGGAACATAGTTCTAGACACGCTGGTTGGGCAACTCAGCAGTAACGGGTTCTACATAATAGCGATAAGGTTGAGAACATGTGGGAGCTTATGTAAAGACAAAAATTTTAAGTCAATTCCTTAACTACAGTCAGAGCTTCTTGCATTTTACATAGCCGATGATATGATGTATGTAGTTCCCGAGTCTAGTTATCAGCTCATCTATGACCAGATTGCACAAGGAAGGGGATGAAACACCGCCCTGTAGACTGCCTCTAGCTACTTGGCTGACGCTGTAGTACCAGTAACGATGCGTTATATCACACAGCTCCTCAGCATGTAGTTGCACCATCTTCAGCTTGTTTCATGCATTTCTTTTAGACGAGTCGGAATTGTGTTTGTGTTGTAGTAGGTGTTGTCGAATATTCCTTCTGTATCGAGAAATTCATCCAGCATGACCTTAACTTCTCAGAACGTATTCTACACTGTACACGAGATGGTGCAGCAACGTTTCTATAGATAATCCTGCTCTATACGCGTACTGTCCTTAATATAACGGACTTAGTAATATAGACTTAGTTATAAAGTCAATATTCTATCTCTTATGTTACTATCGAGCAGGTTTTCTAGTGTCTAAAGTACAAATAACATTAAAGTTAGTGGTGTCAGGGACTTAACTTTTCCTTTTCCTCTTCATTGTCCTCTTTTGCCAGGTTTGGGTATAAAACCTATCCTTGTAGGTACAGGTAACCCCAACAAAATTATTTATTTAGTATCCTGAGAAATAAAGACAACATCAAAAATATAGTGTAGTTGATAAAGGAGTGAATACGGAACAGGAAAAAGAATAGTAGAATAGAATAATATTATAAGAATAGAGGGGACCAGTTTGGCCAAGATAAATCAATCATCAATCATGAAACTGCGGAAAAAGTGTTCAACTGTTAGTTAGTTGTTCAAGTCAGTTGTCAGTTCAAGTGTTGTTAATAAACCAGTATAATTGCTTTTAGAGTGGAAAAGGAAGACTTTTCACGAGCTTTTCTGTTACATAAATACCAAATTATCAGGAATTTATTAGAAGACCTGTAATATTTTTTGAACAATAATGTACACAGATAGGAAAACAAACACCTGATACAGTTTTACAGTTCTACACTCCTCTTTTAACTACTCTTAACGAATATAAAATTTTTTAATTGAAATAATGTATGCTCTTCCTTTTTTTAGGAGCTCAAGCATTTTCCCGTAAACACCCATTAGCATGTTGGTTGTCCTACATGTTGGTGGTTTTTGCCGGAGGTATGGTTGCCAACGGACTCCTCGCAGAACCGATTTTAGCCCCTTTGAAGAACACGCCTCAAGTACTAGTAGCGACAGCAGTTTGGTAAGTAAAAAAGTACAGAACAAAAGTACACTCTGGATCCCTATGATTGTGACTTTTGATAATCAGTTTTTTTGGTAGTTTTATAATTATCTATAGTTTTATAATATCTAAAAGGGTTATTGGCATCTTTTGGGAATGGCCCTTTAGGTTTAGATGGCACTTGCTGTAGTATTTGTTTTTTTTATAGCAAAATTTCTAATTTTGTCATTATGTAACAATGTAACCTCTTATCGGAACAGTGATAAACTTCATGAGAACTAAAAAGCATTTTAATTAGTCTATCTTCCCAAATAAAAATAAATTACCTGGAACTACAATGAGTGTAATTGATCTGCTCAAAATCCAAATCTACTTCTGGGTTGTGATTTTGATTTTGAGTAGAATTAGTAATTATTGTATCCTAACTAAGACCAACTGGATCTATTGATGATTCACCAGTTTTACTAGGCTCCTGTTTGAATTCACCAGTTGTCACAAAAAATGATGAAATTTTTGCTTTTGTTCGGATTTTTGAGCACGTAGCTTTCGTTTTTTTTGAACCACTTTTATATTCCCTCTTAGAAATTATTCCGTCTCCTGTAGATATATTTTGCATTTTGAAAATATCATGGATGGATCGCAAAACAAACGAACAAGTTCTCGAACAACTAGGAAAACAATGCGAAGTTTTAAATTCCATAAAAATCAGGCAATTGGAATACTTGGGGCACATCATGAGAGGTGAAAAATACGAACTACTAAGGAATATAATGCAGGGTAAAATCAAAGGTAGAAGAAGCGTAGGAAGACGTAAAATCTCGTGGCTACGCAATCTCCGTGAATGGTTTGGATGCAGTTCAATTGAACTATTCAGGCGAGTAACCAATAAAATTATAATTGCCAGAATGATTTCCAATCTCCGATAGGAGTGGAACTTGAAGAAGAAGAAGAAGTAGATATATTAGAGTGAGAGCGTTATTACAAGTGTAAGTGTTATAATTTTCTTATTTTACTGTTTTTCTGTTTAGAGATTGTCCAATAATTTCACAAGAAAATTTGTCAATAACTCTAATGTGGGTATCAGATTAATGCCGATATAACCATAAAACAACACAAATAACACAAAATTCAAATAAATAAATAACATAATATAAGAAAATACTGCCGAAAATCGTAAACAGAAAATACATTTCTATTGCAAAATTGCAAGTCTCAAGAAAAAGTGGATGACACTGGGGTGGACGAGCTTATCTATAAAAACAATGACGATTTACATATTACTCCTTAAACACAGAAAGCCAGAGAACTGAAAGTGTATGTAATATCCTATTTAAACAATGATAATAGTCTATAACCATGTATGTCGATTCAATTGCAACGAGAACATTAATGAAACGGAAAGACGCAAACTATTCCAAACATTTTATGGATTACCTTCATACGATCTGCAAACAGCGTTTCTCTCCGCCTGTATAACAAAGGTTGGCCCAGCACGACCCAACGAAGAAGCTTCTAAAAAGAAAAAACTACAGCACAATAATAACTCTGATTGGAAAACATGTCTGTAAAACGTTTTTCTTACGTACTTTTGACATTTATGTGCGCAGATTTCAGGTTGTTTGTTCAAAAATATCAGACTTCGGAATGAGTGAACCTGATACAAGAGAGAAGAAGGAACCCCCAAACAAAATTAAACAATCATCCAAAAATATGGTGATTTACCGCATTAAGATGTTTCCAAAGTATCAGAGCCATTCTTCGAGAAAAGACAATCTCAATACTAAATACATTCCTGGCGATTTGAATATTAGTAAGATGTATAATCTATATAAGGAATTTTGTAATGAACAACATGAAGAACCTGTGAAAGAATCATATTATTGATTTATCTTCAACACATTGTAAACATCCACATAGCATCTAATACACTAATTTTGGTTGGAGATTGGCATTCCAAGTCGTTCAAGAATTGACGGACAACCTCCCTTCTGTACTTGGATTTGAAATTTTGTATTATTCCTTGATCAAGCCGTTGGAGTTTAGACGTTGTGTTTAAAGTTAGAAAGAACAAAAATTACTGATGTCTCAGAACGTATTGCAAGACTCAAGTGGCAATGGGTCGGACACGTTGCCCGAGATAATCCCGAAAAATGGACACAAAGATTAACAAACTGGAGACAGACTGGTGGACAGACGATATCAAACAAGTCGCGGGCAAGCAGTGGATGAGAATTGCCAAAAGTAGAAATCAATGGAAGCAAATGGAAGAGGCCTATGTCCAGCAGTGGACGAACACAGGCTGAAGAAGAAGAAGAAGTGTTTGAAGGCAGGAACTGAACTTTAATGTTTGTCAGCACCGGAATATCACCATATGCAGTGCAATTGTCGATAAATAAAAGAATGTGTTTCTTCTTCCTTTTTCATCGCGTTGTTGGTTTGTTTCAGCCAGTCATGGAAGACCTCTCCGGTCATCCACGCTTTTTTATTAGCTGTATAGCCTGTTGGTAAGGTTGATAATTTTTTGAAACATCTGTTTTTTTTTTATTTTCATGTGACGATAGGTTTCAGTTTATCTGTACTGGATGAGTTATTACAGAGTAAGACTGTCAAATGATCTTTGACAAGTTTTTGCCCCCCTTGCAAGCGTCTCCTTTCAACACTAACGTTTTGTCCGGTAGGAACCTAAAAAAAGCCCTGTCTCATCAGCATTGTAGATATTATCTGCATTGTATCCACGGGTCAAGTGTGGCAATTTAGCTTTCCAATCTTCGTAAGTTACATCATCCACGGCAACACTTTCACCACCAACTTTTTTTAAACTAATTTCGTGTCTCTTTTTGAACCGATCCAATCAGCCATTACTGGCTCGAAAGTATGCATGCCCTACTTGTTCTGTAAACTGTTGAGCCTTTTTTTGGAGTATGGGACCTCCAAGGGGTACATTTTTATCACGGCACTGTTTAAACCACTAAATACCAGCTTCTTCGACATCCTGTAGCTCACCTTTCTTAGCCTTTTTACAAATTTTGGACAGTCACCGTCAATTCGTAAGCGCTTTTCTACTGTATTTTTGCGACATAGCAAATACGAACACAAAATAAAAAAACTTTATCTTTATTTACTTCGATGTACTGTACGATAATAACACTCAAATCTTTAGGTACTTTACGTACTGATCACAGTGTAAACACAGTGTCAACGTCATTACTGCACTGACTGACTGATGGTTCTAGGGGTAAGGGGTGGGAAGTAGGTCACATTGTTTTCATGTCTGGACTTGTCCGTGAGTCATCACAATTTATACTAAACTACGCTAAACCGAGGTTTGGAACGCAGAAATGCGTAACACAGAGGTTTCGTGCGTTATGTTGGAGTTTGCTACATTCAATATTCATTATACGGAAGTTTTAATGTATTTCAGAAAATCGTAAAAATTCGTCATATCGAGGATTAAAACCGAAATAGTTCGTTATATTGGGGTATTTTTTACACTGAGTGTTATGGACGTTTGAAAGGGATTTAAAAAATTGTTATATCTGGGATTTCTTTATATCGGGGTTTGTTAAATCGGGACTGCACTGTATAAGCAACCTTTTTGCTGCGGAGGCCTCTGTTTCTTCTGGAGGCGCCTTAGTTCCTTTTACCGATGCCTTCTTTAACATAGTCAATAGCCTATAATTAAACTTTTCTTTTCTAGGTACGTAGTATTTTACACTCCGCTGGATTTGGGATACAAACTAGCCAAGTTCCTACCCGTTAAAATAATATTTTCGGCGATGAAAGAAATCTACAGGTGTAAGAAAGTGTACGACGGAGTGACGCATGCCGCAAAACTGTATCCCAACGCCTACCTCGTTATGGTGATAATTGGAACGATCAAAGGCAACGGAGCCGGTTTTACAAGACTCATGGAGAGGTTGATCAGAGGTGTTTGGACACCCACAGCGATGGAATTCATGCAACCAAGTTTGTAAGTTGACACTTTTAAATATCTATCACAGCACACCCCACTATAGCATGGTACGGTCCATGTTAAGAAACGGGAGAGGGTTTATAGCGCCGTACGTAATTGGGTCTTGAACTAAAGTATTTGGCGGCAAATTCAAAACATGTTCTGAGTAATGTACTATAAGAATTCGTTTAAAAGCAATAAAAAATGAAGATTTATTATATTAAGAAGCCGTTAAAATGCCAAATAAAAACCTATCTCAGGCCAAAAAATACTTGCTCCATTTTCTAACAAAATCTTCCCTCTTTTACCATGGAATAAAACTACCAAAAATTAACACCTCCGCATATTTATCGAGCTATTTCTACTGACTCTGTCAACATCTACTAACTCGATAAAAATTATTTTATACGTATTTATAATCTTATGGAATTGACTGAAGCCAAACCGGCACCAGAAAGATTGCCAGATCATATTTTATTTCTTCAGCAGTAGATTGAGAATAATGAATATATATAAATAAATGGATTTTTTTAAAATTTATAATTGAACATTGAAATAATGATCACTTTTTGAACATGATTTTATCATTACATATTTTTTAGTAGATCGATATAGTGTTTCAGTAAATCAGTAAATTGAGGTTGGAATCACTAGATCTACTGGAAAATCAGTAGACCGGGTAACCCTGCGAGAGGTAGTAATAGGCAATGTATAGTCACTAAACACGGTCACATCGAAACTGGCTTCACTTTTCGAAGGTTTATTAAATGAGTGTTACTTGTCCTCTCTCTTTTCTTGTCTAAGGTTCAATCTATCAATTTCCACACCTCTCTATATGTCTCATTGACAATGCATCCCTCTTATAGCGTTTTCTTCACGCACATCAAATAATGGACTTGAAGGAGCACATAAAATATTTCGCTTCTTATGATTTTCTTTGTGAACATATTCTTGGATGGTATTAAATCGTTTGTATTAAATGGTATTGTAGGTATACGTTTCGATTTCTATTTGTTTTTTTTTGAGAACGAGTTCCGAAGTAGATATGATTTCTTCAGGGATGCGACATCGGTAAAAAACATCGATGTTGAGCATCGATGGTAACATCAAACCTGAACATCGATAGTAACGAAATATCGAAAAGAAAACATCGATATATAGAAGCATCGATTTTTTTACAAATGTTGAATAATGCGAAAATTATAAATTAAATAAGTATATAAGCGTGAATTAATTGCTGAGCAAAGTAATGTAACTTTGTAACCTTTACCTAATATTAAGCAATTAAAAATTATCTCTTGATAGATATCTTAAACACAACCCAATTATTAGAAAAATAAACAAATAAGTAATATATTAAAATTATAAGCCCCAATGATGCTTATCAATGCCTTGTAAAAATAACAGTTTTGATATAAACTTTCCTTTTATCCTGTTTCATTGCTGGGATTTACCGGCTAACTTCAATAAGCGCGTCGTCTGTAGTATTTCTTTTTCTTAAAAAATGTTCGACTTTTGACAAATCATTGAACTGATATTTCGACATCCTAAAGTATTGATGGAATTTTACTTCATCATCTAACAATTCTTTGTATAATGTGAAAAATTCTCCTTCAGTTTTCCTTTTCATCAAACTTTTATGTAACCATATTTTTCTTTTTCCCGTCTTCCTAGCTTTTATTTTAGATTTCTTCTTCGCTTCATACTCTTCTTCCAGCAAAACAGCAATAACTGTCAAATCGATAATTGACTAATTTTTAAACATTACGGCAAAGCGTACTACTCGTCTAAACACTGTAAGAGTTGTCGAAACGCTGATGGTTAGCTGCTGATAGTGCAAATACGACATAAAACTGACGGACATCTGATGAACGCGGGTTGCCTGCCTCCATCTAGATGGATATGAGATTCAAGCTAATCAAGCTTATTCTGTCAAATTACCAAATCTTAGCGGTTTGCAAGGGGTTTATGGTCTATAGTTAGTAGGCCAGTGATCTGTACTATGTACGAGGGTATTTATGCTAATTGGTGATGAGTTTACTTGTACCCGCTCCTAGACTATATTGGTGGGTGGGCTACAATTCGATCTCTATAGTTTTGTTCGCGAAGACAGTCCCTAACTAGTTTTGGATAAATTTCGGACTGATTCGGGATTAATGTTATGCGCTGGCGCGATTAGTTACTAGTTTTTAACAGTCAATTCTCCGGAAACGATTTCCGAACGTTTCTGACTGTTTCTAACCCCAAAAAATCAACACGTTGTTTTGTTTATATGTACAAGGAGGAACACAGAAGTTTGACAAAATTTTATTTTGAAGACGATATTGCCAAAATGTGTAAGTAAAAAATATTGTGACGGAACGGTGTGTACGGGTATGAAATTTATATCAATGACCCTGAACGTCCAGAATTTCCACTAAATCCTCATCGCTAGATGTAAAATGATCATTCATCTGTAAATAACAATAATTTCTTAATACCGATACATATGTAAGCATGGTAGTCGCCGACGTTCCGTAGGGATATGGCACTCTAAGAAGATAAATCTGTTTTTAGTTCCATATGTATAAAGGCAGCTTTACATCTAGGCTATGCAAGTCTCATGCTATGCAAGTCCGTCTTGCATTGCACATCTCTTGCCTATCTTGACCTTTTTACATCAGAGATATTTCTGTGCAATGTTAGATCCCACTTTCATTGTTGCCAACAGAGAAACTATTTATCAATTTGAGGATATTTTATTTTAAATAAATATAATTAAGTACTAAAATAAATAATATAAATATACACTATTTATGGTTATTAAAAGGGTGAAGGATGTCAACCAAAGAAAAGAAAACATTGTTATTGTTGAATATTGCTGTTGTAGCAACAATCATGAAAAATAATAAAAAAATAAAACCTAGAAAATGCTTGGTCAAACCTTGGTTGAATGCAAGACTGGGAAATTTGAAGTTACTTGGATGCTAGAGACCTTCAAAGTTTTAAAAACTTTTTTCGAATGAACGAGTCCACTTTCCTTAAGCTCCTGGATAGAGATAAGGTTATGTTTTATTCTGTAATCTATAATAAATTGTTATGTTGGCAACATGAATTTTAACGATAAATTGCAAGAAAATAGCATGAAAAATAGAACATGTTCTAATTTTTCGTCTAGCACAGGAATTGCATGGAAATAGCCCGTGGGCATGCGCAGATCCATGATCTGTCTTGCATGGCTCTTGCCTAGAATGAAAATAGCATAATGTCTTCTTCTTCGGGTTCCTTCTCCTAGCGGAGGTTGGAAATCATCATCGCTATTTTAACTTTGTTGGCCGCATTTCTGAATAATTCTAATGAGCTGCAGCCAAACCACTCTCTCAAATTTCTTAGCCAGGACATTTTGCGTCGTCCTGGGTTTCTCTTCCTTGTATCTTCCCTTGCATAATCAACCTCAGTAATACGTACTTCTCACCCCTCATTAAATGTCCCAGATATTGAATCTTTCTAATTTTAACAGTTTTTATGACTTCACATTCTTTCTTCATTCTTTGTAACATCTCTATATTAGTTACTTTTTCAATCCAAGATATTTTATGCATTCTCCTGTAGCACCACATCTCAAAGGAGTTTAATTTTTTGATTTCAGACTGCTTTATTGTCCACGCTTCCATGCCATATAGTAAAGTAGAGAAGACGTAACAACGTAGCATTCTTGTGCGAATCTCTAAATTAAGGTTACGGTTGCAAAGTAATTTCTTCAATTTTATGAACGTGTTTCTTGCCATTTCTATTCTAGATCTGATCTCCTTTACTTGATCTCCATCTTCGGTTAGCCACGTTCCTAAATATTTATATGTTTTTACTCTTTCTATCGTTGTATTATTGATGATCAGGTTATTTACATTTTGTGGTTTTTTTGAGAATATCATTGATTTCGTTTTCTTGAGATTCATTTGCAGTCCGTAACTTTCACATGCATTGTATACATGTTGTATTATGTACTGTAGATCTTCCATGTCACTTGCAAATATGACAGTATCGTCGGCATATCTAATATTATTAATGCTATTTCCGTTGACATAAATACCTTCCACGATATCCAATATAGCCTCTTGAAAAATCACTTCACTGTAGACGTTGAATAAGAGTGGTGAAAGGATACACCCTTGTCGAACTCCTCTAAGTATACTTACTTCCTCTGTCAGTTCTCCTTCGACTCTTACTCTTGCTTTCTGGTTTTGATACAGATTCGATATAATTTGTAGATCTCTACTATCAATGTTTTTAGTCTTAAGAATACTTAAAAGCTTCTCATGTTGAACTCTATCAAAAGCTTTCTTGAAATCTATAAAGCAAGCATATATGTCCTGATTCATATCCAGGCATCGTTGTGTCAGAACATGGACTCCAAATAATGCTTCTCTAGTTCCTAGACCCTTTCTGAAACCCATCTGTGAATCACTTATTTCTTGTTCTAATTTCATGTGGATTCTGTTATGTATGATTTTAAGGAAGGTTTTCAATGTGTGGCTGATTAACGCAATTGTTCGATAGTCATTGCAATCTTTAGCATTTGTGATTTTTGGAATCGTCACAAAAGTTGAGAGAAGCCACTCTTTGGGTATGTGTCCCGTCTTGTATATGGAGTTAAAAAGGTCTACCAAAACATCAATATTATCTTCATTAATTATCTTCAATAGTTCAATTGGTATTTCATCGGGTCCTGGAGCTTTTCTGCCTTTTGTGTGTTTTATAGCATACATAACTTCCTCTTTCATTATTTCTGGTCCCGTGGTTTCTCCGTTAACTTCTAATAATTGTTCTACTTTTTGATCATAAAATAGTTGTTCAATGTATTCTTTCCATCTACGTAGTTTGTCTTGCGTTTCAGTTATAGTGGTACCATCTGCATTTTTTAATATCCCGATTGGTTTGTTACGATTTCCTGAAATCATTTCTTTAACCTTCTTATGGGTGTTGAAAGTGTCATACCTTGCCCCACATTCCTCGATTTCTTGACATTTAATGGACATCCATGTTTCCTTAGCTTCTATTATTTTCTGTTTTATTTGTTTATTAATTTCTTGATATTTAATTTTATCTTTGTTTTTATGTGTTCTTCTTTCGTCCATCTTTTCGAGAATTTCTTGTGTCATCCATTCTTGTTTGGCAGCTTTTGTAAATGTTAAAGTTTTCCGTCCCACAGTCTCGATTGCGTTCTTTATATTCTTCCACTTTGTGTCAATATCTGTAGTGTTCTTATTTTGTTGTTTTATTTCTTGGATACTCTGATTTATTTTGTTTTGAGTTTCTTGGTATGTATTTGGTTCTCTTAACTTATCAATGCATATTTGTGGTCTAGATCTTTTCATTAATGGTTTTTTCAATCTTACATTTATATTTGCTACTACTGGGTTGTGGTCCGAGTTTACATCTGCTCCAGGGTAAGTCTTCACTACTGTAATAGAGTTCTTGTACCTGTTCCTTATCAAGATGTAATCTATCTGATTTCTTATGATTCTATCTTTGCTGTCTCCAGGAGCTTTCCACGTGTAGAGCCGGCGATTTGGTAATTTAAACATTGTATTCATAACTACTAGTTCTTCTATTTGGCACATCTGAATTAGTCTTTCACCACGCTCATTTCGCTCTCCCAATCCATACATTCCAACACAACTATCCACACTTCCTCTGCCCACTTTGGCATTAAAGTCACCCATTAGTATCAGAACTTCACGTTTTTTTGTTGTTTTCATTATTGTTTCTAATTGCTCGTAGAAGCTCGTAGAAGCATAATGTAAAACTGTCTTAATGTAATAAAGATGAAAGTTTTAGTTATATTTATTTAAATATGTAGAACATAAAGATTCCATTGCCACGTCTCAACAAAAATTAATAAAACAATGTAAGGTTGAATGTTCGAATAATTAAACTTTGACGGTATACAAGGCAACTATCGAACACGGTGATTAATTTAATCTTGCCCAAGTACTTTCGATCAATAGATCATCTTCAGGGGCATTTCGTCAGTTGTGGCCTGTCCGACATGAGTAGAATGTCATAAATGTAAATTTGGACATAACAATACAATACACAAAGACAAACAAACATAAAATTTTTGAAAAGGAGAAGCTACATGTTCATTCTGTCTCTGGCTTCTATACAACATGTAGCTTCTCCTTTTCAAAAATTTTAAAGTGTTTGTCTTTGTGTATTGTATTGTTATGTCCAAATTTACATTTATGACATTCTACTCATGTCAGATAGGCCACAACTGACGAAATGCCCCTGAAGGTGATCTATTGATCGAAAGTACTTGGGCAAGATTAAATTAATCACCGTGTTCGATAGTTGCCTTGTATACCGTCAAAGTTTAAAAATTAATAAAACGTTAGTATTAACGATTGATACAAAAAATAAACAAAAAATCTAACAATATACAGTTTCTATAGCGCTTGCGTCAACTAAAAGTTCATGAACCAAATTAACTAATCATGAACCAGTCAACCAGTTAGAAACACGAATCAAAGTGTCAAATGTCAAATGTGTCAAATCAAATCAACATCGAACACTTTTTGTCAAAGTCCCGGATTTTTAACACCGCGAACGCTTGAAAGCAGAACTGCGCATGCGAATCAGTCAGAAACCAGTCAAGGACTGTCTCCGCGAACGAAACTTATAATCATTACATATTAATTCAATAAAAAAATTACGTTAACAGTTTTTATCTTAAATAATATTTAAAGTGTTTAGTATAATCCGAAAATATAGTTTAAATTAGCAATTAAAAAATATAATTATACGACAAGCATTGATTTTTGTATTTCTTTTTTCAGCTACACAAAGGCCTGCTTAGTAGGCTCCATAATATTTATTCTAGACAAAAAGACAGAACTGATATCGGCTCCACACGCCTTAGTCTACTTTGGAATCGTGATATTCTTCGTCTACTTTAAATTATCGTCCATTATATTGGGCATTCACGATCCCTTCGTTCCATTCGAAAATCTCATGTGTGCGTTATTCTTCGGAGGCGTGTTCGATACATTGGCCAAGGTCTTCGGTAGAGGACAGCTCAAGGAAGGAGAAAATAAAGACGTCAAAAAAACTAATTAATAGGTAAGTAATCAAGTTTCCTCTTGCAAAAAATCTTTAATTGGAATCATAGTGTAGTAGGTAGTCTTAATACAATTTACATACATTTATTAATAAATTTCTAGACATACAGTAAAATAAAGAAAACAATTATAGGCTTTGATACACTGATAGGTCTTTTTAACACTTTACTGATCACTGAATACTTTGAAGAGTACTTTGAAAATTTCAGCTTATGCTAATCTTCTTTAGCAGAGGAGAAAAATAATAAAATTGACTTACAGTAAATTATAAATGTTTCACCATATACTTTGGTTGTAATATATATGGATCCATTTAATGACTAATAAATGGATAAACTACTTTCCAGACTAAAGCTTGCCATACTGAAATTATGGAATTGAGGGATAATGTGTCAGCTCGACATATTTATTTCTCTGGATAACGAGAGATAAACCACAAAATTTAAAAAGCATAGTAGCTCCCTCAAAAATAAACCACAACTGCCAAAGAAACAACTTAGTTCGGCAAAGCGGTGTTCTTTCAGAACCCCTCAAATCGATACAGATTCCGTTTTTGCCGGTAAAAATTTTAATCAAACGGAATTTTCCTCTGATTCTCGACTTTTCTCGCCTATTCTGATCGTTTCGATGGATATTATTTTGAAATCATAAAGGATTTATGGAGAAAAGCAAGATAGAAGCAGGATATCACTTACATGCTATGATTTTTTCTAACAGATATTCTCAATTTAAAGTTGATTTTATGTAATCGAATGAACTATCTTAAAATAAAGTCGACCCAGGAACGCAACTCAGCATTATTGGCACTACTATTTTGAAGTCCTGACTACACTTCGACTAGATTTGGATTTGACTGAAGCTCTTTCAGGGCTTTTTTCTCGGATTGGCTAATGTTCGGAGTAGGAGGATTTGAGTTTCTAAGAACTCTAGCGATGTCTTGTCTAGTTTTTTCAGCAACTTTGGAAAGTAAACTGAAAATGGCTTCTTCAGCTTGATAGATGATTGTCCCAATTAAATGCGACTTGGGGTAACATAGTAATTGAAATCTTTTGCTAAAGCTTGAGTGGCAGTGGTAGAAATGTAAGTGTCAGAACAGTGCGAACTACTTTAGTGGGTTTCAAAGCTGCAGGGTTTGGAGTTTGATCAGCAATTAGATATGCAAATTTGCTTTTTTGAGTTTCAGTCTTCATTTGAAAGAAAATGTTTAAGGCGGTGTGTGTTTATACGATCGAACCTGTCCCATAATATAAAACGCAAATTAAAAGAATGATTGAACGATCATGCATTACAATTAAACCTAAAACTTTGCTTAGAAACGTGCTCGAAACGTACTTTGCTCGAATTTGAGTACACTGAGCTTTCGAATTCCACTCTGGAGTCTTAATCAGGGATTCAGGGATCTTATCTCCTGAGCCTCTAGATTATTCCATCTCTACACTGTTACCTGTTAATTGTACTGCTACTATTTGAGACAGGGGATAGTGACTTTATACCGTCGATGATGATGTCGTTCATTGACGTGGCGTTTGGATGGGAGTTGGCGGAAAATTCTTGATGACGGGAGCTGGATTGATAGACGAAACGAACAATATTTTATTACGATTGAGCAGCTGATCTTCATATTCTAAATGTGAGTTTCTTCTAGAGATGTTGGCGACCAAATTGACCCATTTTATTATATTCACAGTAGCTCGAAATATATCAGATGACGTTAAACCACTCCACCTCCTCAGATTGGACAGCCAGGATATATGTCTACATCTAGGGCCTCTTTTACCCTCAATCTTACCTTGTAGAATCAACTGTAGAAGTCGTTATTTATTATTACGCATGATGTGGCCGAAGTAAGCCAATTTTTTGTTCTTTACGCTGTTTTTAGCCTCTGGAGAATAGTTATGTCACTTGTGTGGTGTATATATGAGACCATTAACATACGTCGGTAGCACCACATTTTAAATGCCTCTAATAGTTTTATAGCATTTTCTCTAAGACTACAGCTTTCTACTCCATAGATGATGACACTAAAGAAGAGCTTCTGGCTTTTTCAATACGAGTTTTTATTTCGTAGCTGTGATCCCAAGTATCCTTAATTATGCAGCCCAAATAGCATATTTTTTCCACTCTTTCTAATGGTGTATTGCCTATTGTAATTTGGGCGTTTATGTTGCTGTTCTTACTAATGATTATTATTTTTGCCTTCTTGCAATTTAGTTTTAGGCCGTATTTTTAACATGTTTTTGCAACGATATCCATCATCCTTTGGAGCCCCTGCGCACTATCTGCCAGTAACATTGTATCGTCTGCATATCTGATATTGTTTATAAGTTGGTCATTTATAGCCATCCCAACTTCTGATTCGTCCAGGGCCTCTCCAAAGATGTTTTCAAAGTATATGTTAAATAATGCCGATGACAATATTCAACCCTGTCTGACTCCTTTTTTGACTGTGAAGATCTCGGACAGTTCATTGTATAATAGCACTGTTGCTTTTTTGTTGGAGATATAAGTTTGAGATCAGTCTAATATCCTTACCATCGAGTCTTGATGTCTCCATGCCTTGAAGATATCTTGGTGCCGTTATATCTTTTGTTGAGACAGTTCAGGGTCTTTTCGAACTCTATGGGGAACGGATGGTCGCTCTAGTTCTAGAATTAAAAATAAATTTTGTGATCTGTATAGAGATGATGAAGGAAAAAGCTTTCGTAAGACAATGCTCTGATTCTTTGGATTCGGATTGAGTGGGAGGTTGATACTTGAGGATTTTCCTGTTCATATAATTTTCGCGGTAACTATTTTGGACGAGAGCTTGGTTTAAAGAAGAGAGTTCAGCAGATATATGTGAATCATCACAAATGCGTATTGATCTTAAAATAAGGGTATTAATACATGAATTAATTTGTGAAGGGAGGTAAAGGGACTTGCATGTAGCAGTTAGTAAGAGTGGATTTTCGATAAACAGGCTAATGGAAGCCGTGGTATTGATTTTCCTGTAGGAAAAAGTAAAGGAACTGTAAGGATTTTATATTACTTTATATTAACTGGATAGATGTAATTGAAAAATATTTGCCTTGGGATCAAATGATGACAGGATCGTCAAAATATCGTAGTGTATGCGACAGGTGAGTTTAAGTATTGATACAGATAGTACGCGAGTCTCAAAGTCTGCCATTAAGATATTGGCAATTACTAGAGTGAGTGGGGAACTCATTTTCTTGCTGTAGAACTGATTTTGGAAAATGAAAGCATTGTAAATGAGAGATAAGTAGTCTTGCTTTAGGATTTCTGAGGATGAGATAGAATACTGTTTAAGAAGTATCACTAAAATATAAAACATTTTTGATGAAGGATGTAGCAATTTCTGCGAAAGGTTGGAGGTGAAGTCTATTCGCTCCGTGCGTGACCATGGTAGGGATACATTGAAACGATGCCAGCGTACGTAGCGGCGAAATATGACAAAATTGGAATATTGGACAAAGTATTTTTACGCATAAATTTTATCAAAAATGTGTGCAAATACATGTTGAGTATTTAATTGTGCTAATAATAGCAAAAACAGTGAGTGTAGTTTTTATAGGTTCCCAAAGATTAAATATAAATTAGAGAAAAGAAAAAGATGAATTCGTGCTATAATATGAAAAAGTAAATATCATTGTGCATTTTTATGCAGTTGAAATAGGAAAAATTTAAATAATTTACCCTGAATGATATTTCATAAGGCTTCAAGCTAACTGCAGATGACTTTAGCTTTTATATCATAACTTTTGCGTGAAAAACTTGATTTGCCAGTACTAGATTTTACCCTTTCTTTTCCGTTTGGAGTTGAAAAGATATATTATGATGAATTTTGGGAAACCCAGTTTTTAATACATTTATTTTGTACATAAACTGAAAAAATATAGTTAAAAAACTAATTTAATATTTTTTTTATTTACTGTCTTAAACTAAAATTGATTTTGTGTTGAAATCCAATTAACTCAATTTTTTTCAGTTTTTTTGGCAGATTAAATGCACTTTTTTCTTAGTTTTTTTTGTGTTGATGTTTTTTAATATACTTTTTTGTTTCAGTTCTCGATGTTACCACGAAGAAATAAATTTAATAATAGTGCGGATTATTAAGTTTGTTTTGCTGTGATTTACCCTCATACACATCAACGAACTGTTATTATCATATCATTAAAGTGATCATTGTACCAAAACATTTATTTAAATAAAATATTGTTACCTTTAGTCTTAAGTTTTTTTTCATTCGTAAACAAAAATAATGCAAAAGTGTTACATCTCCTGAGGAACAAAAAACAAAAACTAGAAAGAAACAAAAACACAAAAAGCACTCAAAATTATCATCTTTTCCCCAAAATGTTTCTAGAAATAATTATTATTTCTGAATTATCGTCACCTCTGCGAATCACGTGTCCAAAGAACTGTAGAATTTGCTGCAAACATGTTGTGGACAGCCTTTTTTTAATGTCAAATTGGTTAAGAATGGAAACGTTTGTGTTATGAACTATCCCAGCTATGTGGAGTATTCTTCTCCCAACACCACATCTAAAAAGCATCAATTTTTTGACTTTCTGCTGTACGAAGAGTTCAAGTTTCTACCCCGTATAGAAATATTGAGAATATAAGTAAATTCACCAATCTCATCTGAATTTTTTGGGAGATAAAGCTAAGGGTCTATTATATTCCATATACGTTTCTATTACGGCTGTAATTGCTTGAAGATGATCATTTGTTCCGTAACGTTTCCGAAAACTTTGTTCTCTTGATTGATAGAAGTCGAGTTTACCTTCCAACCGTTTACCTTACAAACCTACCAGTTAATCGTTTGGAAATGATTTTAGTGAATGCTTTATACAAGTGATAAATAAGTCTTATTAGTTTATTAGTTTTCAAGCTTAGCGATATCACCTTTTTTATGGAGAGTTATTGTTATGCTGTTCTTCTGAGATGGGATTATACCATTTTCAAGACATAGATTAAATAAGCATTTAAACAGTTTTAATAGTGTTTTGCTCCAAGCTTTATGTTTTGGCAAGGTCACAATTTCTTTCGATTTTATTCATCTATTAACTTTTTCTTTTATTTTACTATTTTTATTCTAAAAATAGTTGGCGCTTAACTCTTCGATCATTCAGTTTGTTCTCTGTCGTAGATAAAGAACGTTAAACTTTCTGGTCCCCACGTTGGGCGCCAATGTGTAACCACGGAACGACTCATCAGAAACGGTGGATGCAAATGGGTAAAAAATACCATATCTGAATGTTGAAAGAGGCTCTATAACAATAAAACTCATAAATGTCTTTGAGAGTTGATTGTTAGGCCTCGTCTAGCTCAGTCTCTCGGGTGCAAGAACGTCTTATCCTAGAAGTTAATCTGAAAAACGAGCTTGACTGGGACAAATCAACTAAGATATTAACTAATCATTTTTGTTATACATAAAAAATATAAAAAGAAATTACATATTAAATCTTTTGGCCTAATTAATTTTTTTGTCCACCTTTTATTGGGACATTTCCTAACCGTAAAGGTGAATCTTCCTGAGCCTCATTAAACCACACAGGAACTTCCTCAAGCACATGGTCGATCATGGAATGAGAATTGTGATGCAAAACTCAACGGCTAAAATACATACCTGAAATTACATACATGAATTCAACAAGCATCTAGATTAGGCTACATATAAGTCATCATCTGAAGTCAATAACTACGTGAACTATGTTCAACAAGTTATCCAACTGCACGAAGCCAACGTTACATGAATCAACGATGCCATAAGTGTCATTTTAAAATGTTTCTGTAAAGGTATAGGCCAAATATCTTCCAAAACTACCAGTTAATAGTTTGGCAATGATTTTAATGAATACCTTATACAAGTGACAAAGAAGTCTTCCTTCCATCGATTTGAGAAGAGCCTGTATCTAAGGATCGCGTTCGTTATGTTGGTTAAAAGTACTATTGATTTTGCTGGTAGATACCGAAGAGCTCCATTTGAAATTTCATCTAGGGCCTTATGCTTGAATAGAGAGAAAATTTTACTCCCCACTAAGCTAACTCGCTTTTCTATTCCATCATAATCTCTCTCGAGTTTAAAAAGCTGTATTCTTGAATACGGGGAGTAGAAAGGAATGGGAGAAACTATGAACAGTATTGCCGGGTTTTCAATGAAAATTTTAACCACTTACAAAAGTTAATTATTGACAAAGGACAAGATACTGTCAACCGTCAACCTGATCACTCCCCTTAGTGGTGGGCCAACCTGCGATTTTTGTGTAGCTGTGACAAAATGTGACTGCTTCAGTATTGTCACGGTGACAAAAAGCAGTGATTTTTTGGAGCAGTTTAATCTTAACTGCTACCCTGCTACTATTGCTACCTTTGAATATTCCAAAATATATTTAAAAATTTATAAAAATTTTCTACCTGACAAAAGAAATGGGTCCGTTGGTTGGAGCACATCCCGGCCAATTTGAAGATCTTCAACTGCGTCCAAAACATCATTAAACATAATATAATTCCAGTAGAGCATATGATTTATATCTATCTTTTATTAACTTCCGCTTTTTAAAAAACAAAATACTTCCCTAGGTTTTTGAAAGGTTATGTATTGTTATTTTCGCTCCCATTTACAATTTCTCTTACCTACTATCAGTAGAAATTGTTATTCCCTTAGGGAGTGACATTTCTCTCACACATTAGGAGAGTTTTTTATCAAGAATACAGTATTTTTGGTTTTAGGGAGCCACGCTTACTTTTACGTCACTTTTTCTTGCAATTTCTACTCCCTGAAATTCAAGAATAAGGGCACTAGTCCAGGTGCTTTTCTGTTAGCTATATTTAATTAGGTTCATTTATAAGGTCTTCCAATAAGAATGTCCTGATGTTTTTTTTTAAACGAAAACGGTAAAAATTGCTGTAAATCAAACAAAAAATTTTATTCCAAAATATAATAGATAACAATTATGTTCCGAATAACACATAATTCAAATGCCCTCCGCGACTACATTTGCAGTAGCGAATTCGATGAACCTAATTTTCGATCACTTTATGCAAAATATCCGCATTAATCTCACGAATGGTGTGCTCTATGTTCCTCTTCAAGTCTTCAATAGATTGTGGTTGGTTCACATAGACCAATGACTTAACATATTTCCATAAAAAATAATCAAACGGTGTTCAATCGCAGCTTCTTGGAGGCCAAGCATCTGGTCGAAGTTGCTGAATTCTCCTTTGATCTCTGGCATCAAGAGAAATCAATATCTCCTACAACTTTTCCTTCAATAAACCAATGATCGGGGCAGTAGTGTGACATGTGGCACCGTCCTATTGGAGAAATATGCCGTCCAAATCCATTTCATCCAACTGAGGCCACAAAAATCCGTTATCATCGTTCGATACTTTTCACCGTTGACTGTTACACCATTTTCAAAAAAATAAGGTTCGATGATGCCACCATAAACCACACCAGAGAGTGACTTTTTCTGGATGCAAAGGCTTCTCAAGAATCTCATGTGGATTATTTTCACTACAAAAACGACAATTTGGCTTATTCACAAAGCCGTTTAACCAAAAATGAGCTTCATAGGAAAATATTATTTTTTTGAAAAAATGTTTATCATTTTTGAGTTTGTCTAGATACGCCCAATCAGCGAACAAACGACGCTTATGATGGTCAAATGGCTTTAGTTCTTGAGTCAGAACAATCTTGTAAGGGCATAGGTCTAAATCTTTTCTCATAATTGGCCAAGTTGTCATTTTGAGAACAACGATTTACGGACACATTTGCATTCTTCGATATAAGTTCATTATGATGTCATCACGTGCATCGATGTATTTCCGTCTATATACAGAACAAAAGTCAATGATACTCACGGTTCTCGGTTACTATCAATTAAATTATCACCGACCTTTAAATATAATTCAAACCACGTCAAAATATTCAGTGCATAAGTCTCGTCGTTTTATCACTTTGTCAACACTTTAATAGTTTGGTAAATATGTTTATTTAATATGCAAATAATTTCAAAAGCTATCTACAAAATTATTAGATAACCAAATATTCATTGTAGATATCCGCAATGAAGTCAAAAGAAGTACTAACGCTTCTATTTTTGTCATGTGTGTGTTATACCAGTAGCTACAAAATCTTGGGAATATTCCCAGTCGCTTCTCCCAGTCACTACTTTCTAGGAAATGAACTTATGAAAGGGCTCGCTAGAGCCGGACATGAATCTACCATTTTGACGATTTTTGAAGAAAAGGAACCACCTAATGATAACTATAAGCAGATTATTATGGAAGGGTTATACGATCAACAAATGCGTAAGTACTTTTTTTATTAATTTTTGTACACCTAATATATAAAATACACACACAATATAAAATAAGAATTTTATCTTTATATTATTACCTTAAAAAAATTTACAGCAAATGTTAACCTTTCAATGCTAACCTGAATTATTTTGACATCCGTGAAAGTTCTACTAGCAGCATCTTTGGTCGGGCACACACGTACTTTTTTAAATGTTCTTTCGTACAAAGATCACTACCGAACTACGCGGATGTTCCCGACGAACAATACTTTTCAAAAGTTCAAAAGTCTTTTTCAAAAGTCACTGCTGAATTTATTTTTAAATAAATTAATTATCCTCACACCGTGACACCAACCCTACCATTTTTAAATAAAACGAGCGGTTCTAATTTATATAAATATATTTATTTATAAGTTTACAGCACGGTCTTCACAGCCTTCTTCGGTCCTTCTTTGGACATAGGCCTCCCCAATCCTTTTCCATTCTTCTCTGTCTGTCGCTGCAGCCATTCACCTAAAGCCCACGTGCTTCTTGATATCATCTGTCCATCTTATTTGGGACCTTCCTCTGCTTCGTTTATATTTCCACGGTCTCCAATTTATAAGAATTTTGTTCCATCGTTCTTCTTTTTGTCTTATATTGTGTCCAGCAAATCTCCATTTCAATTTTGCAACTTCTTGTCTAACATTCCTCACTTTTGTTTTCTCTCTTATCCACTCGTTTCTCTTTTTATCCGTTAGTCTTATGTGCAACATTTGTCTTTCCATAGCTCTTTGGGTTTTTAGGATTTTGTCCATGTTTGCTTTTGTAAATGTCCACGTTTCAGAAAGATAAAAAGTTTTAAAGATATTCATTGAAATTGGCTTTAAATTGGTTTTGTCTTCAAGAAGACGGCAAAATTTGATAATTGTTTTATTC